TGTGTTGAGCTTTTCCTTAACTACTATGAGTATATGGTGGCCAGCCAGCGGAGATGAGGGGAAGGCAGAAGTGGGTCCCCTCCCTTGAGCTGAACTGTGTGATTTTCAACTGGAGCAGAGAATGGGAAATTTATTTTCAGATTTCATGTCATGAGTCTTAATAGGTGTCTCCACAAATAAGTCAATAATTGTTTTAATTGCTTTGCCAGAGCACAGTAGGGGCAGAGGTCATATCACTGCAATATTATAAGTCCATGTGCCACAGTACACAGAGTTAGAAAATGTACTGTGCTTTGAAAGTTCTTGGATCAGCATCTGTGTCCTGGCAAAGCAACAGAGCCAGTAAAATACTCCTACTTTTTTTAACGAAGGCCAAACCATAGAACACTAGAACTGGAAGGAACTTTAAGAGGTCATCAAGTCCAGTCTCCTGCCCTCACGACAGGACCCAGTACCATCTAGACCATTCCAGATAGATGTCAATCTACCACAGTGTTCTTCCCCAATGGAAGAATTGGTAGGGAAATACGTGAGAGGAATGTCATAAGGTTTTCTTTCAAAGAGGCAATCTGAGGGTAGTTTACACGCCCAAGTTGTATCATCAAAACGTACATCAACACCCAAAATTTGACAAAGCAAAAATCACCTGAGGGTGTTCACACTTACTTCCTCTGACTATAGATCATGTCCACACTGGGGGCACCATCATCGACAGTGTGAACAATGCACTGTGGGTATGCATCCCACAGTGCCATGCTGTGGGAAGGCAGAGCTGATCCCTATGCATCTTGGGATTCCCCTGAGTTCTCCCACAGCTTCCTCAACTGCCCAGGGCAGTATTATGAGTTGCTCTGTGAGCTCTGGGTGCTGAGGAATGTCAAAGCAGCACAGAAGTCTGTCCCCCTCTGGCTGCAGCACTAGTCTGCCTGCCACTGTGTTCCTGGTGCAGGGCAGAACAGAAGCAGTCCAATGGTTTACTCTTTGTTTGTTTCCCAAATGAATCAGCTCACTCAGCTATCAGACACTTCCCGGAGCTTTGAAAGGGGAAGTGTGCATGTCTGCAGGGCAGGCACTGTGGGATACTGGCAGAAGCCAGTTCTGTTGACAAAACAAACAGCAATGTCTACACTGGCTCTTTGCTGACAATAAAGGGAGGGAAAAAGAAAAACAGTTTTTCATAGGAGTGGAAGCTTTTTGTCACTGAAACTGTTGGGGGTGGGAGTCAACAAACGTCACATTGCAGTGAGTTTGCTCTCACTGTTTTGTTGCCAAAAGGCAGGTTTTGGTGACAAAACTTTTCAGTGTAGACAAAGCCTTATAATGTATCCCAGCAGACTATTTGTCTGAGTACGGTGTGTGGTAGGGTTTCCTCTAAGCTGCGCAGCTGCCTAATAAACCCCACGCAGAGGCTTAGAGTTGCTGCATTCAGAGCTTCCATGGCCAGGAGAAAGACACCTTCTCAAAGTTTTGCCTCCCATCATCCCCAGCAGCATGGACCTGCCATAGCCAGGAGAGGTGCCTCTTCCCCAGCCCAATTCAGCTTTGCCAGAACTGCCATGATCCGCAGAGAGGAGCGTCTCATCTGGCCTGAAGATGCTGCCATGAGCGAGGACAGAGGGGAGCCCTCTCTCTGAGGGAAGCCTGTACCCCAAACCTTTCACTTCTATCCCCATCCCAGAGCCTGCACCCCTAGCCAGAGCCCTTGCACTCATTCCAGTTTTCAAATCATTCTCTCTGTCCTGATGCAGCTTCAATCTCTTGTCAAGTATTTCTAGACACCGAACACCCGGCTCGAGATTTTTATCATGTCAGTTGAGCTGTCCAGGTACCCAACAGTGTTTTGTTAATTCCTACCAATTGCCCAGCCTAGTCAGGTATGTTAGTGCTATGAATCGTGAATGACAAATTTGTCATTCATTTTAAATTCCTATCTCATCCACAGTGGACCAGCAGTGGTATAAACAAGGGTGGATTTTAGACAGGTAGCAAGCACTGGTTGAAAATTTTCTGATGGAAGCTATGTTGGTAAATGCTAATTAGATAGAACCAAAACAGCAATGCATCAATTCGATTGAAAATGTTGAAGGAAACCAGGCAGATAGCCTGCCATGCTCCTATCTCCCCAGCTGGCTCAGTCCTCAGACTGCAAGGCAGATGGACTGTCCCATTTCCTGGGTAACTGTATCTGGACTGTCCAGATGGCTTGTAAGGGAGCTGGCTGGATAGTTCAAATTTTAAATTCTTCCAAAATTGAATTCTCAGAGTTTTGTTTCACAAAACATTTTGCATCGGTATTTTTTTTGGTATGCATGAAACACATTTCAGAATTGTGACATTTTTCACTGCCCAAAAGTTCTTGTTCCCACACTGTTGTGTATTGGGTTGCAGATATAGATCTTGTTGTTATAGTAACTGAATTAGGTCACTGGGGTCAGCCCAGCTAGTTTGCGCTGGTTCTAGTCAATTATGTGCTAAGCAATAAAATGGACACTTGCAGCAACTCAAGCTCTCTGCATTTCTGCTGATTTCTTCCTATACTGTGAAACTCCCCACGACATAACAAGTGGTGACGAGGATGGGATACCTGTGCTGCCTCCAGCAACAAAAGAAGTAGAAGTCTATGTAAGGAAACAAACTTTGTTTGGGCTGTTCTGGAAGGTGGGGGTAAGAACTGACTGCTACGCTATGCAAACTGAAACTAAGATCAAAGAGCCCAGAGACTGAAAAAGAAAAAAAGGGGGGATTACAGCAGCCATGGCTACACTGACAGGGCCACTGGGACCTTTTGAGGAGACTATAGAGCAATGGCACGTATATACTGAACTTTTTGTTATTGCAAATGACATTAAAGAAGAGAAGAAAGTGCCAATATTTTTCAGTGTTGTAGGGGCTAAGACCTACTCTCTGCTACGCAGTTTTCTGCTCCCTTTTAAGCCAGAGACCAAATCTTACAGTGACATTGTGGAAATCCTGGGGTCACATTATGCTCCAAAACCACTGGTAATTGCAGAAAGGTATAGGTTCCATAACAGAGACCAAAAAGGAAGTGAAACAATTGTACAATATGTAGCAGATTTGGCTTGCTGAACACTGTGAATTTAAGGAGATGTTAAATGATGCCATACGTGACAGGTTAGTGTGTGGCCTGCACAGTGAAGCTATACGGAGGCGTCTGTTAACAGAAGCTCAGCTCACCTTACAGAAGGCCATTGATATTGCGGTCTGCATGGAACTGGCCACACAGGAGGCACAATACCTTAGTGCGCCCCCTGGGCTGCATAAAATGTCCCAAGAACCTACCCACAAAACAGTGGGGAGCCAGAAATGTTATCGCTGTGGTAAGACAGGTCACCATGCATCAGAATGCTGGTGTAAGAACCTAATGTGTTGACAGTGTGGAAAAAAAGGACACATTGAGCGTGCCTGCAAACAAAAGAAAAAGAGGCCTGTGGGCTAGCAGAACAAAAAGGAAAATCTGCATCCCATCGAGCAGATGCCTGATGATCAAGGTGACACCCAGTCTGAAGAAGTGCCATGCTACATTTTGTCTTTGGAAGGGGCCTCCCAGGTATCCTGGGTAACCCCATTGTCGGATGGCAAACTTGTACGCATGGAAGTGGACACTGGTACAGCAGTTTCATTGGTCTCAGACACGGTGTATAAGGAAAAGCTGAAGCATCTTCCACTTAAGGCAAGAAAGATCGTTCTGAAGACATATACAGGAGAAGCAGTACCCCTATTGGATGTTAAGGTGGAACTAACTGAATCATAGCATCATAGAACCATAGAGATGGAAGATACCTCAGAAGGTCATCAAGTCCAGCCCCCTGCCCAAGGCAGGACCAATCCCAACTAAATCAACCCAGCCAGGACTTTGTCAAGCTGAGACTTAAACACTTCTAAGAGATGGAGACTCTACTATTTGGTAACCCATTCCAGTGCTTCACCACCCTCCTAGTGAAATAGTTTTTCCTAATATCCAACCTGGACCTCTCCCACCACAACTTGAGACCATTGTTCCTTGTTCTGCCATCCATCACTACTGTGAACAGCCTTTCTCCATCCTCTTTGGAACCTCCCTTCAGGAAGTTGAAGGCTGCTATCAAATCCCCCCTCACTCTTCGCTTCTGCAAACTAAACAGATCCAACTCCCTCAGCCTCTCCTCGTAAGTCATAAAACCTCTCCTCATAGGTCATATGGACAGACTGCGGAATTACCACTGTTTGTGGTGAAAGGCCACTACCCAGCCTTAATGGGGAGATCATGGCTTAGGAAGATCTCACTGGACTGGGCAGAAGTGAACATGATGACTAAAGAAGAAACAGATCTGACCCATATATTAAAGAAACATGCTGCTGTTTTTGGAGAGGATCTGGGAAGCATGAGGGAATCACCATGAAACTGAACATTAAACCTGGTAGCCAGCCAAAATATCTGAAGGCCAGAACTGTGCCATATGCTATCAGGCCAAAAGTTAAAGCGGCCTAGTCAAAAATGGAGTCCTAATACCTAATACCTATAGTCCATGGGCAACTCCAATAGTTCCAATATTGAAGAAAGACGGTTCTATTCGGATTTGTGGGGATTTTAAGGTCACTGTTAACCCTGTGTTATGTGCAGAGCAATACCTCCTTCCTCGCATCGATGACATCTTTGCGGGCCTAGCTGGGGGACAAAAATTCAGCCAGATTGATCTGAGTCAAGCATGTTTACAGATGCAAGTTGATGAGAAACCAATTGTTTTTGCTTCACGCACCTTAAGCATTGCTGAAACTAACTATGTGCAAATTGAACGTGAAGCATTAGGAATTGTTTTCGGGATTCATAAATTTCATCAGTACCTGTTTGGACGGAAGTTTACACTTCTCACTGCATCGACCTATGACGGCAATTTTTGGTCCACACACAGGTATTCCATCAATGGCTGCTAGTCGTATGCAACGACGGGGATTGTGGCATTCAGGGCACCCATATGAGATCACATACTGGAAAGCACATATGAGATCAGATATCGGAAAGCCACTCTGCATGGCAATGCAGATGGTCTCTCTAGGCTGCCTTTGCCAGTCAAACATCAAGATAGTGGCAAGAAGGAAATCTTCTACTTTGAACAGGTAGAGAACACACCCATCACTGCTGTGCAAGTTAAGAGAGCAACTCGTGTTGACCCAGTATTGTCCCAAGTTATGGAACTAGTGATACATAGAACATCTCTACGGAACTCTCAGGTCTCACCTGACCTTGTCCCCTACATGTCCAGGAGAACGGAGTTATCAACCCATTCGGGGTGCCTGTTGTAGGAAATGCGTGTCATTATTCCAAAAATACTGAGAAAACAGATGTTAGAACAGCTGCATTCTGGTCACTGTGGAATGGTGCTCATGAAAGAAATTGCACAAAGCTATTTTTGGTGGTCTGGCTTGGACAGTGACATTGAAGAGAAGGCAAGAGATTGTATTTCTTCCCCAGGTGTGAGGAATGCACCTCAGTTGGCACCTCTACACCCATGGGACTGGCCTGAAAAACCATGGCAACGTATTTATGTTGATTTTGCTGGCCCATTTGAAGGTAGCATGTTATTGTTGAAGGTAGATGCTCATTCCAAATGGCCAGAAGTCTGTATAGTGCCTTCCACTACTGCTGAGAGTACTATCCAAAAACTACAGGGAATCTTTTGTAATTTTGGTCTTCCAGAACAACTTGTGAGTGACAATGGACTACAGTTTGTGTCTCAGGAGTTTGGATATTTTATGAAAGCAAACAGGATCCATCAAATCACTTCAGCTCCATATCACCCAGCCACAAATGGATTGGCTGAAAGGTTTGTCCAGACAACGAAACAAGCTTTGAAATCGGTTAGAGGACATTCATTCATACAAAAGAGTCTGGACACCTTCTTACTATCCTACAGAAACATTCTTCATGCTACAACCAAAGTGTCCCCGGCTTTTCTAATGATGGGGCGTCAGCTGCACATGTGCTTTGATGTGCTGAAACCTTCAGAACTGCAACAAATTGTGCAATGTCAACATCAAGGTCAAGTCATCAGGCGTGCATCCAGAGCAAAAGACTGAACCTTTAGTCCTGGACAGCCAGTTTTGGCTCAGTACTATGCTCCTGGAGCTAAATGGGTCCCTGACACTATTATTGCTGAAACAGGATCTGTTTCCTATACTGTCTGGACTGCGAAGGATCTCATCTGTCAGTGGCATGTAGATCAGTTATTGACAGGTTATTCCTGCCCCCAAGGCACATCTCCAGTTGAGTTCCCATCCTTCCCACTGCTGGTGAGCTACCGTGTCAAGAATCACCTGCTCCTGACTCTCCTCCTCCGTCACCACCAGCGGCGAACAATAACCCCCACCCTGAGCAGGCTGATCCAACAGCCTCACCTGTTCACACTTCAAGTTCCCAGCTCAGTGTCAGGCCTGCATCCATAACATCTTTGGGTGCAAGAATGCCAGATGTCCGCCGTAATCCACCTAGAGAAAGGAGGCGTCCTCAATGGCTGGATCTTTAGTTGAGATTAACTCACAGATGGGGCAAAATAATCCCCAGGGTAAGCTGGGAACTTGAGGCTGTCTACCGTCATTTCATAGTTAGTTTTGTTTTCTTAAAGGGACATTTTTATTAAGGGAGGGAGGAATATTTTGTGTATTGGGTTGTAGATATAGATCTTGTTGTTATAGTAACTGAGTTAGGTCACTGGGGTCAGCCCAGCTGGTTTGGGCTGGTTCTAGTTAGTTCTATGCTAAGCAATAAAATGGACACTTGCAACTGCTCAAGCTCTCTGCATTTCCACTGATTTCTTCCTATACTGTGAAACTCCCCACAACATAACAGGAACAAGCACTATTATTTGGTGCTTAAATCAAATCTCAGATCCCTCTAACATTAACTTTAGACTTGAACTTTTTCTTGCACATTGTTTCTTGACAACTTAGGAAACCCTGGTCCCATGAAAGTCAATGGGAGCTTTGCCATCGACTTTTAGAGAAGCCAGGATTTCATCCTTTATATTTAGCATATTGTTTAGCCCTGGATATTTCAGTATTAGACATAAATTGTAGGATGACCAGTTCAATCCCCACTAAAGTCAATGGGAGTCTTTCCACTAATTTCAGTGCCTGTTGAGGATTAAGTGGCTGGACAGATTATCTGAAGAAAGATTGAAGAGCTGAATATTTACAGCAAGTTAAGTGATGACTAAAAGGGAAGTGATTGCAATCTAAAAACATTTGAAGAAAATTAAAATCAGGAGTGGGGAGGAGCTTTTTTTGGAATAGCAAGGGAAAGGCGTAGCTACAACCGGATATTATTATAATTACCAAAAGGGTAATTTAGGTTAAAAAACAGTTGTGTCTTCTTAATAATGAGAGATATTAGATCATTGAGCTGTTTCTAAAAGGAAGAGGAGGAAGGCTCTTTGTTTGGGACATTTTTCTCAAGCTATGAAGAAGCCTGCAACAATATATGGAAAGAACAATCCTTCATTGAGAGGGTGATGGACATTACGATCTTCCATTGCCTTTCCATTTATAATACCTAATATTCTTTTGCTTCTGAGATCTCTAGCTAGAAGAGTTATGAAAAGGAAGCAAAATGCATAGATAAATATATTTCTCCCATAGTTTACTCGTATATATTATCTCTGAATAATAAAAGATTCATTTCCCTATGCCATGCCTTTGCCACAGACTCATTTTTAAAATATCCTACTATCTTGTGTCTCTGCTCTTAAAATTTACTCAGTTTAATACAGTTTAGCATGGAGCATGTGAATAGTCTTGAATTCAGGGGATTAAAATGTACATGAAGTTAAACACGTGAACAAGTCTTTGCAAGACTGGAATGTAGATTAGACTGTCATCAACTACCCCATGTAATGTGCTGTGGATAGTTGTGGTGCTGCCTCTGTGTTGTTTATTATAATAAACAAGGTGCTGGAAAAGATTATGAAAACCAAGGGAACAGGCTTACTGGGGGAAATGAACTATAAGAAGGGGTATGAAAGATGATAGGACAGGTATTATTCTGATTGGCTTTTCCAAATGCAGGGGGCAGCATGAAAGAGGGCAGGAAACAAATGGAGGGAAAAGAAGATGAAGAGAGATTTCAGTTGTTAGTACAAAACTCAATGACTGTGTCTAGACTAGCAAGTTTTCCCGCAAAAGCGGCCGTTTTTGCGGAAAAACTTGCCAGCTGTCCACACTGGCCACTTGAATTTGTGCAAGAACACTGACGATCTAACGTAAGATTGTCAGTGTTCTTCCGCAAATACTATGATGCTCCCGTTCGGGAAAAAACCCTCTTGCGCAAATGTATTTGCGCAAGAGGACCAGTGTAGGCAGCTAAAAACTATTTTATGCAAAAAAGCCCCGACGGCGAAAATGGCGACCGGGGCTTTCTTGCGCAAAACCATGTCTAGTTTGGCACGGACGCTTTTCCACAAAAAGTGCTTTTGCGCAAAAGTGTCCGTGCCAATCTAGACGCTCTTTTCCACAAAAGCTTTTAACGGAAAAACTTTTCCATTAAAAGCATTTGCGGAAAATCATGCCAGTCTAGACGCAGCCAATGAGTCTAGGAGAAATATGGGAAAACAAAAGCAGAAATGAATCAGTAGTGAGCTACTTTGAAAGTTGGTGCAAGTACCCTGTATTTAATGTCAATCAAGTGAAGGGAGTTAAGATAGGGTGATATGGTCATTACAGATGTTGGACAGATTGTAAGGGGAAGAGTTGGGATGCAGGAAACCAGAGAAGGGGAGGTTATAATGATTAACTCAGAAGACAACTAAGGGTTGGGCAAGGAATTTAGCAATAGAATCAGAAAGGGAGGGATTGTTTTTGGTAATATAGAAGAGTGGCAGGACTTGGGGACAGCCTACAAATGGAAGAGGAAAATGAACTGAAGGAAATTCCAAGGTTGCAAGCCAAGGAGATAGGGAAGTGGTGATGGAGAAATAAAGTGGGGTTACTAGGAATTCTGAATATGAATCAAAGTTCACACTGGGTCAGATTTTCTTAAAAATTATACCAGGAAAGGATGCGACCCATTGGATAAAATCAGTAACTGAGATCAAAGTCTGACCTCCATTTTCTACTGTGTGCACAGGACTATTAAGCATGCAGTGGACGTGGTCTTCTGGCTAGTCCTCTTGCTAGAGAGAATGTAAGAATGACCATACTGGGTCAGACGATAGCTCTACCTAGCCCAGTATCCTGTCTCCTGACAGTGGCCAATGCTAGGTACCTCTGCTGTATTTTTTTTTAAATTACTGTTAGAGCTAGCCAAAGACTTAAAAAGTTCTTAAAATTTCTTTTTTGCCTTCCTAATTATATTTTTAAAGTTCATTTGCCAAAATTTAAGCTCCTTTCTATTTTCCTCACTAGGATTTAATGCCCATTTTTTAAAGAATTTCTTTTTGTCTCTCACTGCTTCTTTTACTTGGTTTAGCGATGGTAGCAATTTGTTGGTTCTTTTAGCAATTTTTTTAAGTCAAGCCTCAAATACAATGTCTTTAGAAAGTTTCCATGGAGTTTACAAGGATTTCACTTTTGGCATTACACTGTTTAATGTCTTTATTTTTGTGTAGTCCTCCTTTCTGAAATTATATGCTACAGTGTTGTGTTGTTGTGGTACTTTCTCCACCACAGGGATGTTAAATTTAATTATATTAGGTCACTAGTATCAAACAGTCCAGCTATATACACCTCTCAGCCCAGATCCTATACTCCAATTAGGACTAAATCAAAAATCCATTTTATTATTAAAGATCCTCTATGCATGCAATGCAGTGTACGCTGCTCTCTCTCTCTCACAAGCAAATGGAAAAAAATTCAAACTTTTCAGGAAACCAAATGCAAAAAGGCTTGAAGGCCTGATTCATAAACAAAAAGAAAGAAATCTGCCATCTGTCTTTTATGTCATTGTCCTGTATATCTTTTCTTTTCAGGCTTCTTTTACCCTTATACAGTACCCTTTGAAATACATCTTCAGTCTGACTTTCCTTTTAGAGAAAGTGTTATGATGTGCAGATCCATTGTACTCTGTTTCTGTTCACATCTAGTATTATGCTTTTTTCCTCTTTACATTTTCTCTCCTTCAGTTTTTTGTTTCTTTATCCTCTTCCCACCCTCCTTCAGTCCTTTTTTCTCCTTTCATAACATTTCTCAAATGTTTCCTTTGATAAAGAGACACAGCAATAAAGTGATTCAAAGGTCTACTTGTTCAGACTCTATTACACAAAAATCTACATGAATGCCCCCCCGGTTTTAAATAAGAATGGGATTATCAACTCAACTATCACAAAACGTAAGAGAAGAGCTGGGAGGGAAATTTGATCAGTGGAGCACTCCTTTATCATCGAATTTTTAAACGGTACCAATGCATGCTTAGAACAAAGGAGAGATGGACTGTGTATAAATCTGAAATAAACTGTAATTTGTTAATCTGTCCTCAAAGGAGTTGTTACCTTTTTTGAGACAATGCACAGCAAAAGAAATGTTCCACGTGTCTGATACTATAGATGGACCATTTCAAACTCCCAGCTGAGCTTTCTTGAATCTGAAGACTTAAAAATCAACTAAATTCATGGTTGATTAGTTTTCAGTGGTTTTAAGAATTAGACTTATCTTGCCAATGAAGGTTGGTTCTCTATGGTACATATTTAATCACTTTTTGCCATTTAATTTTTCATTGTCTCCTAGAATGGGGTTTCCCCAACTTCCCTTC